GCAATATTACAGATGGGGCATGCAGCCAACCTTGAAATATAAATCCAATTATGAGAACAAGCCAACACAGCTCGCCTGGCAAAGGATATTACATAACCTGTTAGTTGCTACCTGCATGGAGCTCATTGGTTGAGTCTCCTGGCAGAGCAGGTACAGTCGGTAACGACACCCTCAGTCAATGGCAGTAAGTGAGCCAGTGAAAGGCTGCTGGAGTGAGCACGAGACCCTCACAAGGGCGTTATTAAAGTCATGTGACACAAACAGAGTGAACTCACCATCACCAGCAGCTGGATGGACTAACATGAGCAGTGGGGACAGTGCTGTCCGTACAGGCACAAAGGCAATGTGATAGCCTGGCGTCGGCTTGCACACGTTTAATAATTCATACGTTAAAAAGGACAGCGTGGCTCAGGCTGACATCTTATACACCAGGGTCAGTGTCAAACAGCAGCACATCACGGGGCCGGTTGTAAAGTGCACACACCTTCTCATTCAAACAGTTTGCAACAGTGTTACACGGCTGCATTTCCCAGCTACATCTGTTTGCATTAAAAACAACATCAAACAAAGTGTCTAAACAGCCACAGCTTTAATTCAACAATCACTTCCGCCTCTCGCGACCTTTACGAAGAGTAAAATATGTAACTGCTACTCACATAATGCTCGTAGAATTTAGACAGCCTCGGTTTCCCATGGTTGTTGAATATTAAAATGGCTTTAATCATGATTGTAGCTGAGCGGAGGGAGGCGGGGGAGCACGAAGGGGTCAGTCTGTCAAAGACTGTTGTCTGTCCACTCCCGTGAACCCAGACCCGAGTGGGACTCACGGCTAAATCCCCTCTCGATTTAAGGTTAATACGGGATAGCTTCGAGCAACACGCCGCTGCTACTCCTCCATCGTCTCTTTAGGGAAATATTCCACGTCAAAGGACCAGTCATGCTCTCCTCCTCCTCCTCCTGCTACAGCGGCCGCGATGGCTCAAACCTCTACCGTCCTGCGCTGCACACGTCACAAGGAAATACAGTGATTAGGTGTGTTTGTTTCTGAAGGTGATACTCGGAGCGTCCAGGCGGTGGCGTCATAACACAAGGTTCTTTTGTTTTCACCAGGATTTAATGTTTCATTTACATTCATATATATTATAAATAAAAAAAAATCATAAATAATAAATAAAAAGCTAAACAGGCAACAGTAAATACAATTTGGCTAGATAAAAAATTACCAAAAATTAGAGCTTGCTAGAGTGCAATATTATAATTATTATCCTTGTAACAATTATAATAATAATAATAATAATAATAATAATAATAATTATTATTATTATTATTATTATTTAATTTATTATTAATAATGTATGTATTTTTTTTATTTTTATTTTTTTGCCATGATTATGAATATGATTCTGCTACAGGATTCATTTGAATGATTTATCTCATTTTAATGGTTTGGGTTAGACTTGTGTTATTGACCCCTAAAATGCAAACTTAAAATAAAAAGCTAAATAGACAACAGTATATAAAATTTGGCCAGATAAAAAATTACCAAAAAATTAGAGCTAAAGCGCATTTTTTGCTAGAGTGCAATACTATCATTATCATCCTTATAATAATAATAATAATTATTATTATTATTATCATATATTCATATATATATATAAAGCTAAATAGACAACAGTATATAAACTTTGGCTAGATAAAAACTTACCTAAGCTAAAGCACATTTTTGCTAAAAGTGCATTATTATCATTATTATTATCTATTTATTTATTTATTTATTTATTTCCTGTGATTACAAATATGATTTATGCTACTGGATTCATTTAAATGGTTTGGATTAGACCTGTTTATTGACCCCTTAAATGCAAACTTATTTTGTTTAATTTTATGTGCCCATTGATGTCCTTAAGTACTTGTTAATTTTGTTATTCATAGTTAGGGACTGTTCTTTATTTATGATAGGGGAGTGGGTGGTGCAGTTTGGTGCAGTGTCTGTGATGATGTGGGCGCTGCACCAGATCGTTGTGGTAAAGAGGGAGCTGAGTTTACTTTACTGGTCCACCTACGTTTCAACTCTCACCTACAGTCATGAGGTATTGCCTGTCCCACCCCAGGCCTAGATCTGAGCAAAGTAGCACCATTTGCCCGTCTTTGGTATGAATGTGCCACTGTTGCTGTCTTGGACAACTATAGTGTTTGGCGGAAGAATGACAACTTGCTTTCTCTGAAAGATCGCATTTTATGTTGACTTGTGTTTATTTTGTTTAGTCGTAGTAGCAGCCTTTTAAGAAAAGCCACTTGAGGTCATGATTCACAGTGATTTTAGAACAACTCAACTTTATTCATATAGCACCTTTTCTACAGACATGCAGCCAAGAACATAGTAGCTTTAGTTTAGTAGCTTTAAACCTGACTATATCCAAGTAAATTTCTTTTTTGTAATTCTTGAGATTAGTGCTGTAAGTGTTGGCAAGTTTAATGATTTACATAGTGTCTCCACCTTCTGATCATTGTCGACCTCAAGTTGTGAATATAGTTTTTCATAGTATTCCCTAAAACAGTCCTTAACTTCTTTTATTTGGTGGTGGGTAGCTTTAGTTTGGGGATCCCTTATCTTATATATCATGTTATCTGCCTGTTGTTTTCATAGTTTGTGAGTTTTATAACAATCATATCTAGTATTTGTATGTAAAAATCTGACTCTGCACCAGGAAGAACATATACATTGTAGAAGGTAAACAAATGTCCATCAACTTCTCCCTTTATCAGTTTGAATCTGCCTTCTGTAACAGTGGATTTATGTTCATCAGAAATCAGTATAACTACCCCTCTTATATGTTTTGATCCTTTTGAAGAGTTATATATTTGAATCTCTGTCTTTTAAGTTTTTCATGTTCTGGGACAGCCACTTACCAGAGACGGCAAACTAGCTCGGTGACATGGCCAAACACAAGTATGACACTGAATAAATTAAACTGTGTGACTGTATGTACATTTCATATCCGCTAGATTAGTCAAACATAGGCCTCAATACTGATCTGTTCAGTGATTTACAGCGTTTCTAAAGAAAAGAGGAGAGAATTACGCAAAAGTTACCTCCCTTCCTAAATCCCGTCACTTTACCTCCCTTATTTCGAGGTAGTTGACTCATTGTTCTGTCTTTTAACATTTGTGTTTTCTCCCTGTGGACTACGCATCTACAGAAAGATTTACAATCATTATTTATTTCTATTACTGTCACAACAGAGCACCAGTTTAATACCCCATATCACTGGTGTACAGTGGGTTTAAGCTTCAGCCACAAGATGGAGCAGCAGTACATCTGGTATTGATGATGTGGCAACTCAGAGGGAAACTTGCCACCACCTCTGATGCAAAGAACAGTTTCTACATTTTAACATGAAGGCCTGAATAATTCTGTCAGCCAGAGAGGAATTTCCCTCGACAGACTGACACACGTTGAGTTTTCCTGCTCTATTATTATCCCAGCTCAGCTTTGGTTTGGAGCCTAACCTGCAGTCACTAGTAATATGTAGACATGTTTAACTTCTTTATGTCTGAAAAATGTGAAAAGTGTGAAGTTACTACTCAAGCAGTGTCCCTTTGTTGTCTCCAATATTCCTGTAAAAGTGTCATTAAGCTGGACATTGTACTTTTTTTTGCAACAAAGCATTACAGTTGCAATTGATATGCTGTATTTCTGAGCCAACGCTGCTCAGCAGCATGCAAAAACACACACTTTGTACATTTCATCTGCAGCTTACGTGACTCGTGATAACCTGAGATAGTGTATGTTTCCACTTGCATGTTGTTTTTCTTCATAGTGAGTCTTCTCCTTCTCTTTAAAGAGCATGAAGGGCGGAGCTCCTTAAATTGTGAAGGAACTGTGTTGTTCTCACAAGAATGATTTATGGTTCACTGCTGGTTGAGGGAGCTGGACACCAAGGACATCCAGATGACAGACAAACAGACACAAGGAGACATGCTCTTGTCTGTGTTTTTGGTGTCTGTGTCTGATTGTTCATTGTGGGCTATCCCGTCTACTTTTCATTTTCTAAGATTTGACTTCCTCATTTAATTGAACAGTTTCCCATCAAGGAACAGGCTAAATTAGTCAAGTTGTTTTCAAGCAATGTTTCACTCACACCCACCAAACCTCTGTGTCTTTATTATCCACAGTCAGATTATCTTGTTTGGTTTGACAAGAGTCCTGAGTGAGGTGACAAGGACACAAGATAATGCCTTTCTTGAGCTAAGTAAACCATTGTGTCTTCAGTGTTAATGAATCACTTTCTCCTGTTATTTCCTTTAGATAAGATATAGAATAAGTTGTATTTCCATCCTTTTAGGAATCTCAAAAATATTTTGGAAGCCTTTTTAGTGCATCTATGAGTCATGTTGAAGTCTCTTGACTTAATTCAGGCAAAACAAGAGAGATTAAAGGGCTGAAAATAAACCATGTTTAGCCAGACAGGTTATGTGCCAGCAAACACATGATCCTATGTTTATCAAAAACATTTCTTGATTCCATTCAGTTCTATTTTCTCACGTTTTCCTTTCCCATCACTTGTTGTGAGCCTCTGCTGTGCACACACACACCATGGACAGTGTGTGTTGATGATTAAGGTTCCGGGGAGAGATTGCACAAGTGGAGGCAGGACAGCTATTGTTGGAGAAATGCCTGAGTGAGAAAGAGAGAGAAAGGGAAAGGGGGACGTTGTGTTTGTGACAACGTGGTGGAATTGGACACAGAGGATTAGTCCAAGTCCTTAATATGTGAGATGAATGCACATTTGTGATAAAAAACAGGCAAAATAAAAATATAACCTGTATAATACCTTCAAAGTGAGTGCAGCCATCTATATTTTTTATATTGAATTATAAGTTCTCAGCAAAATGTATTTAAATGAGCCTCTGGGCTGTGGGCGTTCACCTCTTTTCCATAATGGTACAGTCCGACACCAGCTCGCCCCCAAATTGCAGCGCAAGCCTATAAAAGTACTGCACCAAGTTGGTGAGAGGAACCTGTTGTCTCAACTGAAGAAATCTCATCCGAAGAGATAACCTCCCGCAGAGAGATGGAGCACACCGAGGTAGTGAAGCCAGAAACTCTGGATGACCTGATTAAAATCCTGCACAAGATCTTCGCGAGTGACTCTATCAATGTGGAGGAGGTCCAAGCTATAATGGAAGCATATGAGAGCAATCCTCAGGAGTGGAAGAAATTTGCAAAGTTTGACCAGTACAGGTAAAAAAAAAAAAAAGTTTTATATTTTACAGCATTCAATTAATCATGTATGACTCGTTTATTATGATGATGCACTTTGCACTTTTGCTCTGTAGCCTTGTCTGCCACAGTTATTTATTTAATTGTGTTTTTCCAATCATATCTTTGTGTATATTGTGTCTTTCACTTTTGATAGCTGTTCCTTTAAGTGGTGTCTTTAATTAATTAAATATTTAGTATTTATAAGTTTAAAAACTACAGGATGCATGTATAAAAATTTGAATGAAAACCAGCTGTTGTTTTCGTACAGACCAGCAGCTTTCGTCACATCCTATTTGAATAAAACAGAAGCAAATCCTCGACTTGTTTGCGGAATTAATATCCATGAAATCTGTTAATAATCCCCACTTATACATTGAGCTTTTAACCTCGCAGAAAACCGTGTAGTCGAAGTGTTTACCTCTGAAGTGGAGGGCACCCCACCACAAATTATGGGTGCTCTATTCAACCCCTTTCAATAGCTCCAGTGTTTTGATTAGTGAGGGGTCAATGGAGGGAGGAGGCGCGGGTCATCCAATCAACACTGAGAACGGACACACACCCGACTGACTGGGACTGTGTGCCCACCAGGGAGCTGCAGCTGCCTCGAAAATATTTGGAGACTGACGGCATCGCACAGAGGAGGAAAAAATGTGCAAAGTGTTTCAAATATTTGCAGGCTGGCCTGTGACATGAGCAGATTATCTGTGCGGGAATAACATGAACAAAAACATCTAATAAGTGTCAGTGAGGGGCCCCTTTGTTGTGTGTCACCGGGGCCCAGCTGGATATCATAGTGCAGGTGATAGCTTATGTTTTTAACTATAAACGGTGCATTAAATGTAAACCTACAATAAGTTTACAGTGTGGAAACTGGAATGAGCCATATAAATGATCATCAAGTTGGCATATTTTGATATTAAAATCAAATAATGCTGATTTTGGTGCTCACATTAAGATCTAGATTTGTCCTAAAATGTATATTACAACATTAGAATTCATTGTTCAGCGTAAAACAACACCTGTGTACTGTTTTGTTGCATTAAATTTATGTGATATTTGTGATAAAAGCTCCCCCCAGGACTCTTTCAGCACCTTTAATCACCCATGTGTCTCCCCTGTTTGCTGAACAAATTGTCCTCTTCCGCAGATACACGAGGAACCTGGTCGATGAGGGTAACGGAAAGTTCAATCTCATAATCCTGTGCTGGGGAGAGGGCCACGGCAGGTGAGACATGATCATTTGGTGGTCTTCTGCTAAAGAGTTTGGGTGTTAAACACTTATGGTGTAAAGTCACAGTCCTCTGCTACTTTCATTTTTTATTGGAGGGGACAAATGCACACCTTCTCAGTACTGAAGGGGATGCGTCCCCTGCGTACCCCCAGAATATCTGGACCTGTGACATGATTGCTGCTTCTTTCATACAAAACACAATATTATCAAATTGTGTTTTGCTAGTTTTAATTTTCAAATCAGTGTTTCAGATATTATCGCAGTTCAAACTCATTACACCTGCTGCATAAAGCTATTAAATCGATTGCATATTTCACTGGCTTTCTGTGGCAATTGTTGTATCGAGTTAATAGAGATAAGAGAGTCCAATGTCCTACAGACGGTCAGAAAGGTTGTGTAAATAGACAATATTTGATGATATCTGTTGCGTGTCTCACTACGTCAGCAAATATCACCTGAACACCTGAAGGACAGAAATGTAAAAATTCGTTTAAGCTTTTTATGGTTTGATAATATTAATGTTTTTATATGGTTGATTAGCTGGCACTAACATATCCCTGCTGCAGTAGCTATGCAGTAAAACATGTTGCTCTTGTAAAACCTGACTGTTGGAGCCATTTTTAGGCAGTGTTCCAGCACTAGAACAACCTCATAGAGACATGTGTACCCATTTTTACTGCAGTACAGGGGAATGTTGTAAAGTTAATGGTTTCAAACGTGGTTGCTCTGGTGGTCGGACAGCTGTATTTCACAACAGCAGCTTTAAAATATCATGCAATTATCATGGCTTATTAATTATAAGACTGTGAAGGCATTACATTATATTATGCATGAGTCTAGTATCAGCCAGACTGGAGGAACAATTTGACTTTCATAACACAAGAAGAAGAGATCCGGAGTTTCTGAAAACTGTCTCACCTATTGTCTGAATCCCAGTAATTTATTACCATTATTCATTCTGACACTGTTTGTTTCTGTTTCCTTACGACTTGCAGTAGCATCCACGATCACACAGACTCCCATTGTTTCATGAAGCTGCTGCAGGGTCAGCTGAAGGAGACGCTGTTTGAATGGCCGGATGATAAATCACATGGAGATATGGTCCAGAAGTCACAGAGAATTCTCCAGGAAAACAAGGTTGCTTACATAAACGGTGAGAAACCAGACTGTGCGCCGATTGTTTCTTTTAATTGGAGTTGGCCGTTTACCACTTCTCAGTATTAATACCTCTTAATTCTATTAATACGTGTTTGTTTTTGTGGGGGTAAGGTGTGAAACATACGGTGAAACACTCACATTATTGTGCTGTGTTCATTACAATAGAACATCCTCTACGTGTTCTGTGCAACATCACATATGTGTTATCTGTGAAACTCAGACGTGACTCACTTCCATCAGGATTCTGTGCAATTGTGGGATATGTGTGTCACTTATTACAAAAATTCGAACCTCTGCTGTTATGCAATGTCAAAATGGACTCACAGGAGTTAACAGCCAGTCGAAACTTTACAATGAATAGTATTCAGGTCTGTCCGCAGATCTCTGCTGACTGAGTGTTTCACCAAAGCCAACAGAGCCTGCATGTGATGTTTGGTGTCAGTTGTTGGTTACAGCGCTGCCAGGAGCTGCCTGTGAGCCCCACTTAACAGCATTCCAGTGGCGAACACTCTCTAAATGTCCGTTTTTCATTCATGCATGTGTCTGTGCATATGTTAGATTCCATCGGCCTGCATCGTGTGGAAAACAACAGCCACACTGAGGGCGCAGTCAGCTTGCACCTGTACAGTCCCCCATTCCAGACCTGCCAGACCTTTGACCAGCGGACGGGGCACAGGAACACAGTCAAGATGACCTTCTGGAGCAGATACGGAGAGAGGACTCCACATGTAAGGGATATTTTTTTGTCTTTAAAGGAATAGTGTGTAAGAGTTAAGGGGATTTAGTGGCATCTAGCAGTGAGGATTGCAGGTTGCAACCAGCTGATACTTCTAGTTAGAAGTCCTTTGGCGGTCATCATTCAGGTTTTCACCATGAGCTGAATTATGCGCAGAGGTCTCTTACTCTCCAAAACAAACGGACCTGGTGATATAAACCAAGACAAATGCAGAATAAAGCAGTTTCACGCTACAAATAAGTATTTCTCCGATGCTGTTTGGCACGTCGCAGATGGGCCGCAAGCTTGGCGCCTGCTAATGTGAGCTCACCTATTTTCTCAAATAATTTAGGATCCAGACATTCAAGAGGTTTTAACTGGGAGCCAAATTATCCACTGTGAATGCTCCTATCTAGAGCCAGTGTTTGGTTTGTACGCTCTAGGCTACTGTAGAAACATGCAACATGGCAACCTCCATAGACGGGGACCTGCTCCCTATGTAGATATATAAACGGCTCATTCTAAGAAAACATTTTCAGGTGATTATACACTAAATAAAACATACTTATTACATTATATTCCATTCCTGATAATATGTTCCCCCAAACCCTACACAGTGGACCTTTAATACAAACAAATTTAATGAGAAAATACACAAAGCAAGGAGTGTTCTTTGTCTTTGGATACCCAAACTTTGCAAAGTCAAATTCTGTAGACAGAATTTATGAAACTCTAACTGTGGACAGTCAAATAGCATCATAGCATATTTTGCAAAACACTAACAGCCCAAAGTAATACCACGTCGCAGATGGTTTTGTTGAAGATAATTGACTTTATTCATAAAAAATACTATAGAAGACACAAAGATTTAAATGCATAACTGCAAGTACACACCTGTTAATGTCACTTTTTAAATGTATCCACATATTACCACCACACACAGGATCACTACAAACAGTTAATTGAACACCCACAGACTTCTTCACCCTGCTGCCTTAGGAGCAGGAAGTGGGAAGTTTTTATAGTGTCTTGCTCCTCTCATTAGGCACAGCATTCAAGCAATTAAAGCAGCACCCCTTGAAGCTTCTGGGATTTAATAGAAAGTTTCCATTTCATATCCATTACATGTTCTCAGTTACTGCTGTTTCAACAAAATGTTCCTCTAGCAGGCAAGAAATGTTATTTGTTGAACATATGAGGGCAGTTTTTTATGCTCAGGGAGAGAAGAATCGACCTCTTATACATGATGTTTCCTTTAAAGGTGTAATCCAAAGTCCTGCGCTTAATAAAATAAATTACATACGAATGAAAATAGCGCAAAGATGTAAATGTAAGCGCACCCTCTACATGCTTCGGCCACCCTGCCAACAACAGTGGCCTTATCTGAAATCTACAAGTTGTATAAGCATACCTTGACCATAACACTGTCAAGTTAGTGCGTTAGATTGCGACACCAAACAGAGGAGATAAGATAGTGGAAGCACTTAAGTGTGAGCACACGATGAACTTAACTCACTACATGCCCATGACTCTCAACAGTTGTTGTGGTCTAAGCTTGTTTTTTTTGGGATGAATGACCAATTAGGTGCTGAGTTACATTGGAGCACTTAAGTTACATCTAAATTAGAAACCTGGCTTTGAATGATCCTGGTCTAGGTTATGGCAGGACATACATGTTTAACTCAGTGACTTATGATCTGACCCCAAGCTCTAACTAGTTCTGTTTTTCACTCTTTTCTCAGGAGACCACAGTCTCACAAGAGAACAACTAAGGGTCACCAAAGGAGGCTGCCCATGATGAAGACAGTTGCATTTAAAATGACAATGTTGTGAAAATGATTCAAGGGAAACTGCTGGGGAAGCGAAATGTGGAACTACTATGACTAAGCAACCCATTTAAAAATCAGGAGCGGGCCGGTTCAAAAGGACAACCCAGTAATTAGAATAGCTTTATCGCTGCCCAGTGTGAGCTTGGCAAATACTGATGAGCACAGGACGAATGCATGAATAGGCTTGGACATGGATTGAATCTCCCTTTTGTTTGCTGGGCCTGAGGAGACCCATTTCCAATAACAACATTCCTGTCTATCCATGACCTGTGCAACCACACTTTTGTAAAGTTATGGCCCATAGTCAAAGATTAGAGCTTTAGCGTTTTTTTAAAAAAAGGGGGGGGAAATATATTGCTGTTATAGTGTTTTAATTTTATATCTCAAGAAGAGGAAAACAGTTTTGCAATCAACAGTTTTGTTATCAATGGAGCACTTTTATAGCTGTATTTGCTGTCAGCGTATACCACTCAAAATTGTCTTAACACTCGTAAAAATTGTAAAGATGTAACATTGTTTGTATAATCTAATTAAACAAAGTTTGTTCCATTTGCATTTTGAAAAGGAAACGTAAAGCTTTAGAGTTGTGTTGTTTTTAAAAGTGCGATGGTAATTTATTTGCAGGGAAAAGAGTGTAAAAAAAAAAAGAGAAAGCTTCTGTGTTACTCTTAAATGTATTCATACTCGAGTTTTGACCAAGAGAATCTTTTGTATTATTAGCAGACAATATTTTTAGATAAAACTCAGGATTTTGGCATATTTTAATTGTAGCTGTATTTATATAGTGTGTAGCACCTCTCATAGCACTGTCACATGCATGGATGATTTCTGTGATGCAGTAAATGAGAAATCTGGCCATAACTGTAGACCAATAAACACCATTACCCTTTCACAGAGCTTTGTTTTGAGTCATCTTCATTTCATTTTATGTGTTTTTGTAATTAATTCTAAGTGTCTCACACTGTTTGCAGCAAGCACATACATTGCATAGAGCTTGTTTGGAAGACCAGTGCGAAAGCTTCAGTGTCAAACACCAAAATAACACCTGATACATGTGTGTCTTGTGATGGAGGATGCTGGATGTAAACACCTACATTTGTTAGCTTCTGTAGCTCTACTGATGTAGTCAGTGTTTGCAAGCAACTGCTAACGCAGGGATACTCAACCTGTTTGCCATGAAGTCGCTTTTGCAAAATAACCAGACTCCAAGGGCCACTTAAGAAACAAATATTAATAAATATAAAATAAAATGACAAAATGATGCAAATTGCAGGTGCACAGGGGTGTTTTAAGCCTTTGAGGCAAGCAGCAACCACCACGGCTGAAAAATAAAGCCAACATGGAAGTGTTAAAAACTGCAGTTCTTTGAACAGCCACTTGAGGCTGGCTCCAGAAGCCAGTCACCCCCTATGTTAAAATACCCTGCAACAGTCTATGAGTCAGATCAGCCCCTTGCTTCTCCACAGCTCCACATTCTTGTCCAAATATGGTCACCTCTGGTTCCAAAAAACCAAGAAGGTAACGGACGTAATGTGTCTTGAAGCTTCGACATGGGAGTTCATGGTAGCTACATCCATTATTTTATACAGTCTATGTTTTGAGGACATTCTGGGCTTAGCCTGGACCTTTCTCAGGGTGTCCTTGTGATTGAGCCCCGGTACTTTTTCTTTTATATATAACAAGCTCTATATTTATGGTTTTTATGCTCTCTGGCAACTGATTTGAGCGCAAAGTACAAAAAAATCAGTGATTTAAAAATGGGTGGTGCAAGCCAGCACCCTATCGCTGGCCAGATTTGGCCTGCAGGCCATAAGTTGAGTATCACTGCCCTAATGGTTCATTAATAGTCACATAAAACTATATTACAGTAATTGAGGAAATTGCAGCAATTCATCAACAGATAGGCCTCAGTCTGGCATCAGCCTGGAGAGCAAACGAATGCGTGGGCCGCCCTCTTTACTTTGATACCAAGGAAATACTGGCTGGTCATCAACCTGACCAATAAACAGATTATATTAATGGTGCCCTGATAATAGTATTAAAGTACCAGATATTCTGTGCGTAGTCTGTGCACAGTTGGCTTCTCCTTGGCGGACAAACAAGTGTTAAAGTGTGTCTGTGTAGGTGAATTTGAAAGATAAGGTGCAATCGAAAACAGGTGAGAGTGCGTGCAAAGCACCATTTACCTGTACAAAGAACACATAATGGTTGAAGCTAAAGTGACTATAAGTATTGATATTGGTTCCTCGTGTTAGTTGCTCATATCCAGCTAGACTGTTGCAATGTTAATTCCTCTACATTGTGTTTTAAGGGGTCTACTGTATACACCAATGGCCTCTTGGCCTTTTCAATTGCAGTGTTTCTATTTTATGCTGTCCTGATGCCATTTGTCATGTGAAGAGGGGGAAATAAAGGGTGTAGTCTGTGGTTTGCCTGTACATTTTGATGGACTAAGAGTCTCATCCTACTCTCTAATGTGCTATGCGCTAAATTCTGTATTGACCACAAGCCAGGAAATTAAGTCTTTCCAGCTAAAAGTAGACACGGAATATCGCCTCAATCAAAATTAAACATTCACACGCATTAGTTGGGCATTTAAAATTTAAACTCTCTACAACCCTGGATTTCACTTCTCTCCCCTCTTGGTGACGTGTCCCCCAACCAGTCTCTTGTTGACTCATGACAAAAATGGACAGTTTGGACAAACAAACAAACGTCATTAGACACATTTCATCATTATTTGCCTTTGCTGAGAGCACACAGTGTGTCGGAGAGGTGAGTTTGATAAATGCATCTCCTCCAGGTTTTCTCTGTACCAGGTCAACCATGGGATGGCCTGCAGCCAGTGTTACGTAATAATGAAGCAATAGCCTTGATTGCCCCAGAGAGGCACCTGTTTTATAAGAGGACATGACTGCCATGTGCTGGGGCCGGATGGAGGCTCGTCCAGAAGACCTTTACCTTGATCTGATGTTTGGCTCGTGAATTTAGTGATAATTGTCCATCTTTTCAGAAGATTAACCCTTCAATAAAACAATCTGTGTCAGAACATTGCTGAGTGTTGATTCATCGTCATGAACGACAAACAGTACGTCGAAGTTTTAGTATTGAAATGAGATGTATTTTCAGAGATTCTGCAGATGAAGACTTGTGAGCGCAGCCTTTCTCTCAGTGTTAGATTATGATATCATCTGTATGTAAACATCAACCTCCTTTGTCAGCTGTTATTGGTTACTTAGCCTCAAATATAGAAACAAATTGCAGGGTATCGTCAAAGTGTGCAGCAAAATTGCAGCCACTACCTTGAATGAGCTTCCTCGTCTAAACAAGGTAATGTTAGGACTTTGAGGAGTCAGTCCTGGCTGATCCTAGACAAACCCTGTCTAAGGAGTTCGTGCTCCTATCCCATGATGTAAGATCAATAGACTAAAGAACCCATTTGTCCCTGCTGCTGCCTTTTGAATAACTCAGTGTGATCTTTATATTGTATTTATTGCTGATTGTTAGTCTGATAGTTATCAGGTTACTGCTGGCTGTACAAGAAATTGCCCCTCAGGGACAATCGAGATGTCCTTGATGCTTGAGAATAATGCAGGGTGGCGCTTCTGTTATGTAAGAGAGCTGCATCATTGATGCCCTTTTCAATAAAGTACTATCTTTTTAATCTTTTTATTTCACAGGGCGATGTGAAATGATAAACCAAGTGTTTTCAGAAGTGTTGAAGAGATAAGATACCCAACAGTGTGACATGCTGTTAGACAGTCTTAGACAACTAAAGGGCACGATTCCTGTTTTAGTGATGATGACTGTGGTTGATACTTTGAAACCGCAAACTTGCTGCTTTTACTTACTGCGTCTTTTTTGTCGATTACTTGACTTTATTCGTTTCAGCTGATGTGTGCAAATATAATTTTCATGGGTACGTGACCTGTTCCTTTTAATTATTTGCTGTCATTTGACCAGTGCTCTTGCAGGTCAATGCACTGATCAAATTAAATCACTGGAACTCTGAACGGACGCAGTCAGACCTCTTTTAACCCTTGGATTGTGCTGGACAGGGGCACGTACCTCTTGCTGTTGCAGGTCATTTTTACACTCAAAACTTTTTATTTTTCACCCATTATAGTTTTTTACCTCATAACTAATTTTTTTATCCATTTATAACCACAAAATATACATTTACTTTTTTTTACTCTGTGGTTGAAAGGCTACATTTACCTTGCTGTTGAAATCTGATAAAAACAAATCTTCAAAAATAGGGTAAAATCTGACACGCAGAGGACATTAGTTGATAATATGGAATGCATAAATGAAACATTGGAGGTAGCTTTGTGGATCAAGACCCAAAAACTTTAGCTACAGATCCACCCAGACTCTTAATATTCTCTGCCAGGACAGATTTAACCTGCAACACCACAGATGTAACAATTTTTTAGAGATCTTCAAAATCAAATTGGTTCTGTTACATTAATAAATCTGTTTTTAAGACTTGCTCCTATAAAAAAAGGACAATATTTATTAAATATTTTAACTTGAAATGGGTTAATTTTGACTGTTACACCAGGAGGGTTAAGCGCACACATCTGCATACCGCTAATATAACTCACCGGTATAACGTTACATCATAAGTTGCATTTTTGTGTCATATTTCATGTATTTATTCATTTTATTTTACATCTTTGTTTATATGGAGTTCTGTATTTACTTACTTAAGTTATTTTGGTAAAAGTGATTGCAGACTGAATACAGTTTTCTCTGTGTACATGCTGACCTTGGATGATATCTTGTGCTGGCCCCAGATAGTAGTGCGCTTGGCATGAAGTAGCCACAATAATCTACAGATTTTGTTGTGCTGAATTATTGGGACGTGTTTCAGTTTCTGTGTTGTTTTTCCTGTGGTTTCTCAGCTTTGTCACACTGTCTCCACTTTGATTTGTTACTCTTTGTCCCCTTTTTCTCACCCCCTCACACACTGTACTGTGTTTGTGCTGCTCCGGTAGTCTCCATATCTGTGGAGAGGCTATAATTATGGTATAGATCATAAAACATAACAGCAATTTTCACACTGTTTCCCTAACCTTTTACTTTGTTCTGGCGGTGCGGTGATTTGAAAGTGCAAAGTAGAGTCTGTGACTGATGATAACAATAAGCCAGTGTTGTAGAATCTTCTAGGACACCGAAGGAAGCGGAATAGCTTTGATAATTTACTTATCGAGGCGGCTTCAGTACATTGATAGTGAAAAACTCGTTCATGCAGCAGACAGTGCATAGGCTGTACTGTCCAAGTCGCGTGGCATGACAGCCCATTGTTTTACCACATGAAAGTGATAAAGCCGCCGTTCTTTACCTCTTGTTGTTTTACCTTTTCAGTTCTATTAACAATGCATTCATAGGCCTGAACATTTGTATTTTTCACATTTATTTCATTTGCATGTTTTCCATAGAAGTAATGTCTTACCCCAGTGCCATCACTTTATTTAAAGGAGCAGCATATGAGCTTTAGGGGGATTTAGTGGTAACTAGTGGTGAGGATTGCAGATTGAAACTAGCTGAAATTACTGTTCAGATTTCCTTCAGTGTTAATTGTTCAGGAGGTTTTTACTGTGAGCCTAATTATTTGCAGAGGTCTGAACAAATGGGCATGGTGAGTTACTCCAGTAAAAACACTGAATGACACAGTTTAACGTTACAAATCAGTGTTTCTCCGATGCTGTTCACCATGTCATAGATGGGCCGCTCACCAAGCACCTGCTTACGATCTCATAACGCAATAACGTTATAATGCCAGAAATAAAATGATCACAACACTGAGATATGTGAAAAACTGGAAAATGAGTGTATTAGTGATGACCTGGGTCTGTCTCAACCTTCCATCAGCAGAGTGATCACTAACAATGACAACACTGTCACAGTCTACAGGTCATTTCATTTCTACTGGGTGTCCACACCCTGCAGGCTCACAAAAGGGCGTCTGTGACAACCAATCACATCTGTTAAAAGAATACATCATTCCTAACAACAGGGTCGACCACACTTCCTCACTAAGATAAAAGTTTCTGTCCCTTTCTTACTCACAGTTGCTCTGAGAACTTCCCTAAATCACTCCTAAGCTAAGAGTCAGTACTAAAAAAATTTGTTTGTGAATACGGCCCCAGATGATCAGGAAGTTTTTACCTACATCCACTGCAGCTGAATCATGTATTATATTTGTCAATCAAAAGTCACACATTAATAAATATGCACTTGCCAGGCATTTGTGAATAAGAAAACTGTTAGCGCTTGCTAACTTTGCTCCCTTGTTAAAGATAGAGCCCCCCCAGACGATTTTCCAGTAGGCCAACACGGAAGTTAGCATCGCACTGGTTGCCTTGTCAAAAAGCCGTTTCCGTTGGATTTTGGATTACTGCAGAAAATAAGCTCTGTGGCAAACAAACATTTATGATACCTACACATTTTGTTCAGCAAGCTGATCTTCACAAATGCACACCACTTTTGTGACTGTTAAAGCAAGAAGTAAAAAGCTAACGTTAGGGCTATAAACGAACTACACTATGATCACATGACCTATCGTCTCCACCTTAACAAGACTGTAAAGCTGTGTTCGGCGTGGCGAGATGACGTTCTGTGTTTGTGTGAATCACAGACCTTATTTCAGGCATCTAACCAGAAAGCCATTGACTGTGAGAAAAGGGAGCCGGAGTGGAAAATGCTCAATCATTAGGAATGCATTAGGACTCAAAAAAGCCCTTGACTCAGAAAAGGGAACCATAAGTTCTCCCTTAGTTCCTATTTTAGGACTTGTTGCTGGGGCGCTCTATTCCCAACGCCAACTAGCTGCATATGCCAATGTGTATCATGTGATACCAGTGATGTGTCAACGGTCATGCTGTTCAGCTCTCGATTTTAAGTTAATAATACAAGGAATTTATTTCGCGTAATGACATGATTTTTATGAACATTTTTCAAACATTACCCCAAAGAAATGAATATTCAAAACAAAAAAAACCCATTGTGTTAATTTCGAAGCATTTCCAAGCCTGAAAATCAAGGGCACGTTTAGTCTCAAAGTGGTGAGCACTGTTTTGCAATGGTTGAATGACGTTTCTTTGAAGTGGTGTAAAATGGTATGCAATGGGATTTGAGGCAATTTTCTCTCATTTGGTGGGTATGTCCGAGGTGTACCCAATCAGCACTGATGTGTATATAAACCAGATTCTGGTAGATCTGCATTTATTGCACCCACAATTTTTGTTTTGGCATTGTAAATGTATGTTTTCCTTGCCAATAAAGGTCCTTTGAATTAAATTCAATCAATCAATCAATCAAACTTTATTTATATAGCGCCTTTCATACGTCAAAAATGCAACCCCAAAGTGCTTAATTAATTAAACCCCACAGTGTGCTTGCGTGACACCACAGGGTGTTCAATGGACTGTTTCCGTTTATTTAAACGTTTGGCGACGTTTTGTCTGGGCTGAGTGCAGCACGCTTCTTTTAATTCCATAGCTTTTCCATGAATATCACAACCATGGGAACAATGTCATTAGATCTAAACTAAACTGAGCATCTACACCCTAAACTCCATAAGTGTCAGTCATTAATCATCCACACAAAGGTCAAGAAACTGAGAGGAGGAACTTCATTTGACCACTTGAGCACCACACCCTGGCTTGCTGCCAGCAATTAATGACTTTACCTTCCTCTGTGTTCCTGTAAACAAGCCGGGGTCCTGCATCTCCCAAGTTTTGATTTGACATCTTAGTACTTCACTTAATTTCACTTTCGTTCTGACTCAGTTTTTGCCCTTGTTAAAGGTCAAGTGTGTAGGATTTAGGGGCATCTATAGGCAGAAATAGTATATAATGTAAAAATTCAATTAAAAGTCTAGTCCCTTTTACTATCCTGGTGTGGCTACACATTTTGACAAATAAAAGCCTGTCTCAGTTAGACACCTGGTCTGGTTGCCAAGCAGCTGGCAACCTCAAATGTCTGTTACAGAGCAATATCTAGCTTAAGTTTGCTTACAATTAGCCACCTAAAGTTAGTGATCATACCAGGCCAATCACGGCTGTAGCAGCAAACTCCCTGAGTGTAGTGAAGTGAACAAAGGTATATTTGTTTATAAATAACATTTAATTTGTAAGAGGACAGTGTTTTTTTCATTAAAAGTTACACAGTCCAGCTTTTAATTGAATAAAGTGATAAAAAAGCATTATGCCTCGTTGCACAAGTGCCACACCTACATTGACGAGTGGTTTTACCTAATTTTACTTTAGGGAAACCGCTGCAGCATTAGGTAAAGGACAGGCCTAGTCACAGCAGAGGCCCAGCTTGCTAGCAACTGTGCATTAACTGTGAAATTGTTTCCTTGTACACCCTCATACATTACAGCTGGCTGGCACACACACACAGAACAACAGTCCATCCCGCAGCAGATCAAGTGCACGGGCCACTCAAGGGCACGTAACTGAGAAACTCTGCACGTCTTGATCTTTGTTTTTTCCATAATCTTACCGACTGTTGTACATAAACCTCACATTAACAAAAGCAAATAAAAAGAGAGAAGCAAAGCATTTCCATCTAAAGATATTTTTTGTACAACAAATCTCTTTATCAGACCAGTATTTGCAAAAACAGGTATCTGGGGAGAAAATACCACAAAGAGAATAAAAGATAAGGTAACATTGGAAAGACATTACAAATGAAGCACTTTATGCACTCCTCGTCACCTTCGCAGAGAGCTGCACTTTTGGCTTTCACTTTGTGTGTGTGTGTGTGTGTGTGTGTGTGTGTGTGTGTGTGTGTGTGTGTGTGTGTATGTGCTGCTCCCTTGTAATGGAAAACACACATAATCCAGCAGAACACAGTGTCCTACTCCAGCCCACAAAAATCATGCCCTGGTCCCATTTCTCCGTCTCTCAGGACGCAGCACCAAAAGAGAGCGTAAACCACAAAATGCAGTAAACAGATTTTGGTCCTGTTAAAGGAGCTTTTACACATTCTCCACAAGAAGTTTGCTGCATCTAGAAAGCTACGAGACACAGAGCCTAAACCTTTCCTACAGAGAGCATGGGATAAACAAGTAAAAGTGGGAATGGGAAAATTTGAGCCAAACATGCAGCACTGGGAGTAAAAACATACTTTCAGTGAGCAGCCTGCCAGGATCTGTGTTGCAGCACACTGAACATCTACTGCAGGATTGGTTTTCAGTATTGCAAGTGTTAATGACATATACATGGCATACAGAGTTGTCTACTACAGGTATCAGTCACTTAAATTTAATGCCTTTGAGACTTTTTCAAGATAATTTATAACTAAATTTAAGACTGTTTTTTGGGGAAATCATCTTTTCTTATTCAAGCATTGCAGGTAAATGTGTGTTGCCATGTAGAGGTAGGTTTTATGTAGGAATATGGTTATTAGTGACTTAGGTTAATCTACATTTTGCCAACAGGTGAGTGACAGTATCAAGTGAAAGACAGTTTTAGATTCAGTGGCAGGTTTAAAGGTTTGTAACGTTAAAAATGTGGGCTTTCACACAAGAGTTTGACTCAAAATGAAGTTAATGAAGGGTGAATAAATAAAATTCAATAAAATATTTGTGGCAATTGAGACCTCACAAATTCAAATTTCAGACTAATGACTTAAGGTATAATATTTTAAGGCATTTAAGATATTTTAAGGTCTTGCAGACACCCTGGTACGTTGGGGCATATTTTAAAACTTGTCAAAGTGTGAAATTTATTAGTAAATTAGTGCAATACCAGGCTCATGATGTACTTTGATGGTGCATTTCTAGCATTTCTGACTTTAGATTGTCAGTACAGTTCTTAAATTTTGAATTTTGAAAATCAGAAACACACTGTCAAACTGCTGACATGTTTATTAAAAAAATATAAATTCTAAGGTGCTGAATATCCTAACAGGAACAACAAGTGTTACAATTCTACATCATAGATTTTTTAGAAATGGACAAATCAAATATCTGTCAAAACTCTAAGAACTCCTTTGAAATGGCTTGAGATCATTTTCCCCTGAGGTCTGATGCATTCCCACATGAAACGGTGTCACATCGGGAAGAACTTGATTTGCAGATTGATTGAGGTGGAGTTACCATGGAGACCCAATTATTTACTATTACACTTTGCTGAATTAATCACTGTACGTATCAGTGAGTGCAAGATGCATCATACATTGCTTTTCGGTCACATTACATTTTTCACTTCTCAGTCTATAACAGTCTATTTGGTAGGACATTCAACTCTATGTCTACTTTGACTTCAATGTAACAAGATGTTTCATTGACTTCCCATGTCCTCTCTCTTTAAAATTAAAAAACTTTCTGGTCCTTCTTTCTTTGAATATTTAAAAATAAATCTGTACCTTAAAAAGAGATGTATAAAATCTACATCATACATACAAAATAACAGAAAAACCTTTGAGAAGGCACAGAGATCGGAGTTCTTCATATCCTACTGGTCAGTAGGTCAGAAGGATTCATCATCTGACTGCCGTCCCAGAGAGCCCAGAGACCTGATCTGCTCCAGAGTCTCCCTCCCAGGATACGCTCTCCTCTCCAATCCCTCTGACCCTGACTGACCTGCTGTCACCAGCCTTCCCTCTCCCTTGTTCCTTGACCTTACTGATCTCAAAGACTCTGCCTTGTCACTGATAATGTCGCTAACACTCGACCTTACCGACGATCCACCATGAGACCCGTTGCATGACTGGGAAGCATGACTGTTGGCATAGCTGTTGTTGAAGCTGTATCCATGAGAACCGTTGCTTCGGTGGGAGTTGCTGTTGCTCTTAGGATGACTTGACTGAGTCTGGAAAGTTTTATTGAAGGAAACCTTAAAGAATTTCTCAGAACCTGAGTCATGCTGGGTCTCAGGCTTTGAATATTTATCTGTTTCCTCTTCTCCAACCACACCAGGGTCTCCTGCAGGTCCGGAAGCCCGATTGAAGGTCATATCTAGCGGCCTGTCTTCACGCAAAAACTCCTTGACAGAAGATGAAGATCTTGGTGTGGTGGGGTCCACCGGTCTATCAGGGGGAGCAGGCAGGACGCTGCCTACCTAAAGAATGAAATTGGAGGTTTTGATGAGAAAAATGGAGTAAAGGACAAATTATTAAATTAACCTTTTCAAGTTATTGATTGGATACAGCCCATGAATTTAGTGCTTCTACTTAAGACAGAGAGACACTCAGGAACTATAACAAATCAACAGAAGACATGATAACAGAGGCATCAGTCAAAACTTGAGGTTATTTGTGTAACTCCAGTTCCTTTAGTGAAATGAGTGACATTGTGGGACAACACTTTGTGGGATGACATTTTTGACAACACTAAAATCTTGCAGACCATAATAAATTAAAAATAGTTTGGGCTTACATGGGTTCTCGGTCTGAGATTAAGGATGGCGCTTATCAGTTTGTTTTGAACTTTTATGGTGCTGTGAAATAAATCATCCTTAAACCAAAATGCATTTGCAAAATTATGGATTTGTGGTCTTAAAACTACAAGCTACAAACTAAATGGAAAGATAAAACTGAGGGTATAACACAACGACATCGGGGCAAACGTATCTCAAACATTGCTTTGCGTACCTTTACCAAAGATGACGCATCAGTCTTTGCCCAAACATCCTGATACTGCCCTCCAGTCAGTGATGCTGCACCATCCAAATATGGTCCCACCGTAGATGAAAGCTGAGGTCTTCCCAGAGGGTGGAAATCTGACTTGTCAATTCCAGCCATCGAAGCTAGCTGACCGAGGCTACAGAAAAAGAAAAAAAAAATCAATGAAACTTAAAGGGCAAAAACATTTCTTCACCTGAGATACTGAATTGGTAAAAGTTAATGAATGCTACCTTACATATTAGCTGCCTTTTTTCCACAGCAAATGCAAACAAATGTCACTGAGATACCACATCCATTACAATTAACTAAAGATGTAATTAACTGGTAGTAAATGTGCTGGTAAAATGCATCCTGCTGCTAAACCGCATCCATAGCAACAACTGTCTTTGTGCTTGTGGCTTGCTCATACTGTAATATTCCAGGATTATAAAGCAATTTTGTACAAATACTTTTACTAATATCTTCTGTTGTTTAGACCTCAATCTTTCAATGTGTTTCAAAAAGAAGTCACAACAAGGTAACAATGGAGAATATACGATGCAGAGTAAGGCAGAATTCATACTTCTGCTTCGAATTGACGCCGTAACCTACGCCATAGCCTGACGTGCAAATCCCCAGATTTGTAACCACACATCTTGGCGACGCTGACCTCCTGTCTATGTTTGTAAGCTGAAACCATTTCCCTCAGTGGAAACAAAGCATTGAGGAGGGAATCTCTGCTCATCACATGGCAAATTTCTACAATGTAAAATGCCATAGGCTTGTGCTAATAATGTTAACATGTTATATTTGCGTGTTCAGTATAGGACAGTTGTTTTGTCGGTGAACCTTGTGAGTTGTAATGTAGCCAAATTTTGTAATGTTGCCTTTGTTAAATGTTGCTGTTGTCCCTGGCTTCATATGAAAAGAGGGAAAGTTGGCTAGCTGCTCGGCTAATTTCTACAATGTAAAATGCCATAGGCTTATGCTAAAAACATTAGCATGTTGTATTTGTGGGGAAAATGTGTCCAGATAAAGACAAGTGTTTGTCTGTGAATGCTGCGAGTTATAGTGAAGCTGATTTGTGTGCTTGTGTTTGAAATTCTCTCCATTTAGCCATGTTTAATGTAGGGTCTGCCGCACAACTATAAATCCTGCTTAAAAGGGCCAAACTGCAGGTATACTGATTTAATTCTATTCGCTGAGTAAAAAGGTAAAACAGTAAGGGGAACATGAGGAACAAATGACTCAGAATAATTTCTCAAAACTCCAAAAGAAGAAACAAATCTCGGTTGTTTTTATCAATATAGAAAACCCTGGGAATTCAGCTTTACACTGCTGATGATGCAAAATGAAAGCAGGAAACAAACATAGCAGCAAAGTTTAGACCTAGCCCATGTTTAAGGACAATACTGGCAAATTCTGGTATCCACCTATTTACTGCACCTTATGGCCCTGGCGTCAAAACAACACAGCATCCTTTAATGGCCCTTGAGGATGAATCAAGGAAACAACTGAAGAAATAAATTCAACTCAAAAGTAGATAAGGAATTTATGACAAAAAAAATAAAGGCTTAAATAAATCAACTATTGGTTCTGTCACAGTGAAACTCATCCTGACTCAACCAGGTTTCCAAATACAGGAAACCTGCACGACCAGAACAAACTGACCTGTTATTTAAGGGCACCTCAGAACGAAACAGAAATCCAACACATGTCTACAGTAAAAGGTCAGTCTCCAGAAAGTAGCCCTGCCCATTGCCAACAAACCCTCAGTCACATGAGAGGATACCCATTTCATCTTAATGAATCCACAAAAGCTCCATTGGCACTCCATTGCACACACTAACATACTATGTAGTATGTCAGAAAACGATTTAGTGTGTCACTCCTGATACACAGTATGTCAAATGCAGCATGCCAAAAATACTGATTGTATTCTGTATTTGTCCTTGTGTATCTGATCACATTTAACAGTATGCAAGCAAGCATGCTTTTCTTTTCTGGCTACTCTCACCCTCTGTGCAGCAGACGATGCGTCACATCAGCTGAGCAGCAGATAGATAACAGTTAGACAGCTCACTGACAACTGACAGATGCCACAGTGCTGGACGACAGCAAATTGTGGGGCGGCAGTAGCTCAGTCCATAGGGACTTGAGTTGGGAACCGGAGGGTCGCCGGTTCGAGTCCCCATCCGGACCAAAAAAAATATGGAGCGTGGACTGGTGGCTGGAGAGGTGCCAGTTCACCTCCTGGGCACTGCCGAGGTGCCCTTGAGCAAGGCACCGAACCCCCCAACCACTCGGGGCGCCTCACCAAGGGCAGCCCCCTCACTCTGACATCTCTCCACTTTGTGCATGTATAGGTCCTGTTTGTGCATGTGTGTGTCTTTCGGACCTGTGTGTAATTGACAAGCAAGAGTGAAAACACTGAATTTCCCCTCAGGGGGATTAATAAAGTAAATAAACTAAACTAACTAAAACTAAACAAATTCAAGTGACTAATGACCAGTCAAACAGAGAGTAATAATGGGAGTAGGAACTGATTAAGTATTTTTCTGAACCAATCAGCACTAGTTTGCAACAAATATTACAAAATTCATCTACTGTTGCACCATCGAAGAAATCAGAACTAAAATGATAAGTTGATCAAGCAGCTTTTCAACAAATATTAAAGCTGCATTAAGCGATGTTTGTCTTGCAACAAAGCTTTGACAAGACAGTGTTATCAGCTTATGGCTGATACGTTTGCCATGTCAGAAAACTACATGACACCGAGCAGCACTGGAGCTGTGCAAAATGTCCTTTATAAAAAGTCCACTTATTCCTCGTATAGTAGCCCTTGCTTGGATCACCAACTCCTGAAAAACTAGAATTACCGCCAACCAGTCAAGTTGCAGTTATCTGTCTGTCAGGCTCATATGCAGTCATGACAGCAGACAATGCTTTAAATATGGATGTTGCTGCAAAGCTACAAATTCTATACCATGTATGTTTTACACACATTACCAATTTGGCAGCAGACAATCACCACAATTTCAAGGTGCACATCAAAGATCAGTGTCACCAATTCAGTACCTGACTAAATATCTCCCCTTCTATTCCTAAGAAATTATGTTGAATAATAGCCAGAGAAGTGTTTTACAGAACATTATGATGTCACAATCACTTCATCATTTTGTCTTGTTGGACATCTGTGTAAAATTTTGTCACAGTTAGTGTATTAATTCTTGACTTATGACCAAAATCAATCACAGTGATCATGAACTTCAACCACCAAAATCTAATCAGTTCATCCTCATGTCCAAGTGGATGTTGCAAGCAGCAAAGACGGCAGCAAAGTAAAACAAGACTGGGCAAATTCTAGTCCCCACCTATTTACTGCACCTTATGGCCCTAGTTTCAGAACAACACAGCATCCTTTAATGGCCCTTGAGGATGAATCAAGGAAACAACTGAAGAAATAAATTCAACTCAAAAGTAGATAAGGAATTTATGACAAAAAAAATAAAGGCTTAAATAAATCAACTATTGGTTCTGTCACAGTGAAACTCATCCTGTCACTGTGAATTTCTTCTTTGAACTAGACTCAGCAACAGGTTTCCAAATACAGGAAACCAGCAAGAACTGAGCAAACAAACTTGTGTCATTATGGGGCACCGCAGAACGAAACAGAAATCCAGCACACATCTACCATAAAAAGTCAATTTACAAGAAGCAGCCCAGCCCTTTGCCAACAAACCCTCAGTCACATGAGAGGATGCCCCTTTCATTTTACAGGGGAACTAATGTTTTTTTCAACCTGGGCCCTATTTTCCAATTTACTTTTGTCTAAATGAGTGATAGGATGTTCAATATTTGACATTTCTCCAGTTTGAAGGTAGGGCTGACCAGCCTGCAGCACGCACTATATTAAATAACTAGTTCATACCCATTAGTAGCTTTGTGACCTTCTACCTATGCCAATTCCCAATGCCTATGTGCAGTTTCACATAGATTGACCACGTCAGTGAGTAGAAAAACGTGGGGCAGACAGAATGAATGACTGACAGAATGACACACTGACAGTTTCCGTGATTATGTACAGCATACCATGCCATGATTTAGTCAAACCAAAAATTAGAAAAAAAAACCAACCCAAAACATTGGGCCACAGGGGGAGCCACAGGGGGAGCCACAGCGATCGGTCACATTTTAGACATTTGTAAGCATTTTTCTGTTGTTATAGCGCCACCCAGTTGCCAATTAGAAATAAATTTCTCCAGTCACCTTGAGGTGTCCTGTATCCTGTCCCATACCTACCAAGTTTAGTAAAAGTCGATATAGCGGTTAGGCCTAGATAAGAAATTAGCTCTCTAGCGCCCCCATTTTGTTTGATGGGGTCAATAATGGAGGGGTCCCCTCAGATTATGTGTGGTCATATGCCTACAAAGTTGCGTGGTGATCAGTGAAACCCTTGAGATGTTTTTTTTTTTTTTTTTTTTTAAATTTACTTTATTTATTTATTTACTTTCCCTGAGGGGAAATTCAATGTTTTCACTCTTGCTTGTCAATTACACACAGGTCCGAAAGACACACATATGCACAAACAGGACCTATACATGCACAAAGTGGAGAGATGTCAGAGTGAGGGGGCTGCCCTTGGTGAGGCGCCCCGAGTGGTTGGGGGGTTCGGTGCCTTGCTCAAGGGCACCTCGACAGTGCCCAGGAGGTGAACTGGCACCTCTCCAGCCACCAGTCCACGCTCCATATTTTTTTTGGTCCAGACGGGGACTCGAACTGGCGACCCTCCGGTTCCCAACTCTAGTCCCTATGGACTGAGCTACTGCCGCCCCCATACACCTTTATGTGATGAGCCATGTCCGCCACAATATTCATTGCCTTATAGAAGCTCAGTTTTAGTAAGTTTTCCGACTTTTGCCAAGAGGGAACTTTAGATATTGGTCCCTAGATTATGTTCACCGAGTTTCATACAAATTGGTCAAACTTCGTAGAAAGAGATCGATTTGAAGTGTTTTTCAAAAAATTCAAAATGGTGGAAAATCTATATAACCGGAAGTTATGGGTTCTTGAGGCAAATTTGTTCCTCATGAGGAGAGGCATCTCTGTGCAAAGTTTCATGTCTCTATGACATACGGGACATGAGATATGCCCATTCAAAGTGTGCAATTTCAATCGGTTGCTATAGTGCCCCCCTTTGGCCAATTGATGTAATATTGCTTCATTCGCATCCTCCCATGACCCTCTACCACTGTGCCAAATTTCACATGGATTGACCAAGTCAGTGAGGAGAAAAACGTGGAAGAGACACACAGACACACTCACAGAGTTTTCGTCATTATATAGTAAGATAGGGCACTTAGACAGTGTCAAACAACATCAAAATACGTCCACTAAAAGTGCATTTTTTTCACACAGATAGGCTCGGATTGTTAGTATAATTATCTGACAACATAACGGAATGGAGAAATGAATGTCTGTGTTTACCTTTAGCCAGTAGTGTAGTGGTAGTTGATGAGGTGGGTATACTACTATGTAGATGGGTAGGTTAGTGTGGAGGAAGTGGGTATACTCTCTTATATATTACAATGACTTTTTGGCTGATAGGTGGTAATACTGTAAATGGCCAGAAAAAGAAGTGGGCATACCCTGTATGCCTGTATATACCTTCCACTACAACACTGCCTTTAGCTGGATTCGGACATGTTCCTCTGCCTGTTGCTGCTCCCTCTCTCTCCTCATCCGGCTCTGCGTCCATGTACTCCGTGTTCTAATAAATATGGGCGGTCATCAACCTGATTACCCGATTTTGACCAACTGGATCTGGATGAGCCATTTGAATTTGATGACCGGCCGTATTTATTTAAACACGGAGTACACGGACGTACACGGACTCTACTCATTGAAACTGAAGAGCGGACGAGGAGCGAGAGGGAGCAGCAACAGGCAGAGGAACATGTCTGAATCCACCTAAAGGTAAACACAGATGTTTATTTCTCCTTTCTGTTATGTTGTCAGATAATTATACTAACAATCCGAGCCTATCTGTGTTAAAAAAATGCACTTTAAGTGGACGTATTTTGACGTTGTTTGAGTGCCCTATTATTTAATATAGCACACGCTCACGGGCTGCAGGCAGGTCAGCCCTAGCGTCGTACTGGAGAAATGTCAAATATTGAACATCCTATCACTCATTTAGACAAAAGTAGATCAGAAAATAGGGCCCAGGTTGAAAAAAATGTTATTTCCCCTTTAATGAATCCACAAAAGCTGTGAGTTCCATTGCACACACTACCATACTATGTAGTATGTCAGAAAACGATTTAGTGTGTCACTTCTGATACACAGTATGTTGAATGCAGCATGCCAAAAATACTGATTGTATTCTGTATTTGTCCATGTGATTTGATCACATTTAACAGTATGCAAGCAAGTATGCTTTTCTTTTCTGGCCACTCTCACCCTCTGCACAGTAGACGATGCATCACATCAACTGAGCAGCAGACAGATAACAGTTCGACAGCTCACTGACAACTGACAGATGCCACAGTGCCGGACGACAGCACATTCAAGTGACTTATGACCAGTCAAACAGAGAGTAATAATGGGAGTAGGAACTGATTAAGTATTTTTCTGAACCAATCAGCACTAGTTTGTAACAAATATTACAAAATTCATCTACTGTTGCACCATCGAAGAAATCAGAACTAAAATGATAAGTTGATCAAGTAGCATTTCAACAAATATTAAAGCTGCATTAAGCGATGTTTGTCATGCACCAAAGCTTTGACAGACAGTGTTATCAGCTTATGGCTGACATGTTTGCCAAGTCAGAAAACTACATGACACCGAGCAGCACTGGAGCTGTGCAAAATGTCCTTTATAAAAAGTCCCCTTATTCCTCGTATAGTAGCCCTTGCTTGGATCACCAACTCCTGAAAAACTAGAATTACCGCCAACCAGTCAAGTTCCAGTTATCTGTCTGTCAGGCTCATATGCAGCCATGACAGCAAACAATGCTTTAAATATGGATGTTGCTGCAAAGCTACAAATTCTATACCATGTATGTTTCACACACATTACCAATTTGGCAGCAGACAATCATCACAATTTCAAGGTGCACATCAAAGTAGTTAGTACCTAACTAAATGTTTCCCCTTCTATTCCTAAGATATGATGTTGAATAATAGCCAGAGAAGAGTTTTACAGAGGATTTATGATGTCACAATCACTTCATCATTTTGTCTTGTTGGACATCTGTGTAAAATTTTGTCACAGTTAGTGTATTAATTCTTGACTTATGGCCAAAAACAGTCACAGTGATCATGAATGTCAATCTAATCAGTTCATCCTTATGTCCAAGTGGATGTTTGTGTCAAATCTGAAGAAATTCCCTCGAGGTCTTCTTCAGATATCGCCTTCACGAGAATGGGACGTACGGACAGACAACCTGAAGACATACTGCCAAACAGAGGCATAAAATATTTGGTTCTCTTTTAAGATATTTGATGCTTATATGTCATTAACCCTTACTCTGTGCTGGGCAGGTAGTGCATACTGGTCTGAGCTTATTAACTTTAAACATCTACCTATGGTTTTGTACTGGGAGTTCAAGGAGAGCTGCTGGGAGTCAACCATGCAATGTTTGCATCAATGCAGGATACACTGCTGATGCATAAATGCAAGCAGCAAAGACGGCAGCATAGTAAAACAATACTGGGCAAATTCTGGTCCCCACCTATTTACTGCACCTTATGGCCCTAGTTTCAGAACAACTCAGCATCCTTTAATGGCCCTTGAGGATCAATCAATGAAACAATCAAAGAAGATGTCAAAAATGACAGGCTTACATAAATAAACTATTGGTTCTGTCACAGTGAAACTCATCCTGTCAAAGTGAAACTCTTCTCTGAACTAGGCTCAGTACCAGGAAACCAACAAGACCGGAACAAACAGACTTGTGTTATTTAGGGGCACCTCAGAATGAAATAGAAACACACACATCTACAGTAAAAGGTCACTTTCCAGAAAGCAGCCCAGCCCTTTGCTATCAAACCCTCAGTCACATGAGAGGATGAATCCAAAACAGGTCTTGAATTACTTGACGGTTCCTCTTTGACTTACGATCATCAGGCAATCCAGTATGATGGACATCAGTTACACAACTTGATGTGGTTTTCCATACATAAGCAAGTTTCATGATGTATCAATATCAGATGTCCTCTTTTTCTGTACCACTACATCTGTAGTTGCACCATCAACAAAATTTGAACTAAAATGCTAAGTAAATTAACCAAGTACTTGATCAATAAATATTAAAGCTGCGTGCCGCAATCTTTATCTTGCAACAAAGCCTTGACAGACAATATTATCAGCTTATGGCTGACAGGTTAGCCAACTTAGAAAACTAGCACACAGAGCAACACAAGTATTACATTGGACTTGTGCAAAATGTCTAACTCTCATCTGTCATTGGTCTTCACGTTTGCTCATTTGTGCCGGGCAAGTAGTGCATACTTGGCTTGTTTTATTTACTTAAACCTGCCTAGGGTTTCATACTGGGAGTGTAGGGAGAGCTGCTGGGAGTCAACCATGCAATGTTTGCAGTACTTTGAAAAAAATATCAAACATGTGCTACTTATATAATGCAAAAAAGGTTTCGTGCTGCTGGTTGACACAATAAGCAATTTTAAGGCATCACATTTAACTAAAAAAGTAATAAACAGTTCAATACTAACAACTGCTATAGTGGTCCTAAAAGAAATGCACTGAAAACAACCTTAGATAAAAGAAATATATGACAAGGAGAAACAGGAATAGTTAAATGAAATCAAAACAACTCTCTGTGGGGATTCTGTCAGGACAGAACTCCACTTTGACGCAGGGTATGTAACAGATCCTGGGTGTGGAAACTTGAACCAAACAAATGACCTAAGAATGGAACACCCAGTGATGCAAAATGAAACTGAAAGTTGTATAGCTAAATTAAGACTTTCTTTAAATCACCTCGACCCTAGAGCCAAATAGGCACCAGTCCAAGTCAAAAGACAGATGCTGTTTTGGACAGTGTAACGAATACTCACCCTGCATCCTTGAGCAGATCCAGGAAAGCATGGAACTTTGTAAATGAACTTTCAATGCTCTCCAGAACTGCCTCATCTTCAAGAGCACCGAGAGCAGGTGGTGCTGATGCAGAGCCGGTGGCTGCAAGTGCCTCTGACAGGGAGAGGTTGGTGCCACGAAGACGGGCATTCTCCAACTCAAACTGTATATGCAAAAGAAAAAGAAAGAATAAAAGCCAGTCTCTTGAGCTTTTCATTTACAAAACCATTTCTGAACATAATACAGAGCTGTAACTTAAAACTTTGGACTGTCTGTTGAGATATAATTGTGGGATCATCAAAGGAACTTTCTCCCAGTCTCAGATTTAACAATCAGCACTTAATCTAGAGGTATAATGACCATAATTATCCAAAACCCACTCCATCTTGGCTGACCCTCAAGCTATCTAATGTTAGCATGGAATAAAGATCTTGCTATGTCATTACATCAAGTATGGCATTGACACGAACTCTAGAACTAACTAATGCTATAGCAATGTCCACAAACTACAAGAAAATGCAAACTGTCTACTGCTGCACAGAAGGAAAACACAATAAAAATAGATTACAGACAAAAAATCATATGTTAGCACTGCTGAGATCATCATTACCTCCATGAGCCTTGACTCAGCTTTCAGTCTGGCTCTGCGCTCCTCTGCCAGCCTCAGACGACACTCCTTTAGCTCCATCTGCAGGGCGTGCATAACAACACACACACAAATACACAGCATGCTCTAAGTTCTTCAAAGCAAACTGATGAAGTCCAAAAAGCTTTGTCTTGTCCGCAACACTTAAAAAGTTCCAGTTTGGGAACTAGCCATATGTGACCTACCTGTATGTGTTTAAACTGCCGTTCAGTGATTCGGTCCTGGAGACTAAGAGAAGATGGTCTCTGCTCCACTTCCACCACAACTTCTTCCTCCTCCTCACCCTCCTCTTGCTCTGATTCCGACTCCACAGTAACCTTCACGGTAGCTGCACCCTGAAGAAAACCATATGTTTTAACAGGGGAAGGTTTTTTTTTTTTTGACGGATCTTGTCAGAGTTCTGATCCGTTTTCAACTTTTGGTCGTTTTTAATAGTAATGCACTGCACATAAACAAAAGAAAACTCACCTCAAAGCTTTGATCTATCACACAAACTCCAGGAGGCATACCTCTGCAACAAAGGCAACATAACATTAGTCTAAGATTCACTGAGCACCATCACAGTTATACCTGGTGATTGTTTTCTAAATAAAGGAGTATGTTCTATTCTAGTTTTTTGAGGAGGCATGTTCCGTAATGAAGCCAAAAACTGTTCTAGCAATAGGCTGTCTTCAATCTATAAATTAACTAAAAGTAAACTGGTTTGCCAACATCTCCTCACCTCTGGCGTCCAGCTCGTGCAGCAGCACGCCAAGGCACACAGCTGGAGCGGGAATAGGGTTTCTGTGTCTGAGCAACGCCTGAACTCTGTCCTGAAGGAGATGATCCTTTACGAGGGGCTGCACCAGAGAGAGAGAGAGAGAGCATGTAAAGGACTGGAAATGGAGAGCTTTGGGCTACAAGGTTTTCCTCTGGGAGCACTGGCTATTAGGCTGTGGTGTAGAACGAGGACACACAGACTCCGGCAGTAAGTGGGTGATATACTGTGTGGATCCATGAGGTACTTTACATCTAAAAAGCAGGGTCTTAACATCACAAGCAAGAGCAAATAGACACTGATGAGTCCAGCTGAAAATAACTGTAGTTACTGTATCAGTTATGAGACAGCATGGCACTCCTCATCTTTTGCTTTTGATATTTACTACAGGGTATACAAATAAAAGTATCTAAAAGTGTTACAGGATTTTGTCATATAAATAAATGTGGACTTATTTTTTGCTCTGGTCCACAGAGCTGCCTGTAGTAACAAGGGGAGAACAGCATGACGGTCTTACCATGTCTCCAGATGACTTAAAAGCCAAAGGGTGAGAAGTCAGAAAGAGACAATATGAGTATGTGATAATAGACGCTATCTTAACTAGACTCAAAGAGATCCAACACTGAAGGTTAGGCACTTATGCAGTTTGAAGACGGGGCAAATTTGCATATCAACTATGTCTAAATGTCAAATTAGAGGTTTGAGAGTCGGAAAATCTGAAATTATTTGACACTAGCAACTTAGACAGTTTAAGTCAGTATGGGAAAACTAAACATATTTTGTCATAAAACCCTCTCCAAACGTTAATAAAAGATAAAAGATCAAATATGTTTTTATGGACTGATCAAATATCTGCATTATGTTTTATCTGACTAGGGATACAGTGACCTTGAAGAAAAAAATGTATGCATATACCTATCCTGAATGTAGTTTTTCCTCTGACTGTACTGGGTAGAGCTCGCCTCTTCGGACCAGAAGCTCTCTGCGGCTCTGAGGCTGCAGGCTTGATCCAGTAGTACTGCAGCACAGCACCAAGAAGATACAAGATACGGGCACAGTTTGGTTACAAATATGAAGCAAATACACTACTCTATCACTTAGACTTTCAATAATAACATTAGCCCCAGACACTCACCTCTGGTGACTGTCCATCAGCATTCATCAGTACTTTCTCTAGTATAGTTTTAATTAGGACCTTGTCTGTGAAGGGAAAAGAAACATTCACCAAGGAAAAATATATGTCCAAAAATGTAAAAAAAAAAAATTTGTTGTATGAAAACACTATTTACTCAAAACATGGTTATAATGAGTATGTACTGGGAACACAGCTAAATAAAAATCTAACAGTGCGCTAGCTGCACCTAGAGGCTGCAATCTTTATTACACTCACAATACAAAAATGCTCTGTGGAACCAGTGATTGTATATATAATGATGGACAGCATGACAGTGAAGATGCTCTACAACAAAAGATGGTAAGAAATGGTACACACTTCTGGTCTCCTAAATGGGTGCGACCGCCTCTCCCTTGTAACCCCTCCCCATGTTTTGAAGTGTTGTAAATGTTGTGTGGATGATACAAGCAGATTTAAAACAATACAACACTATATACTGTACAAATGTAATGCTAGTGCCTTGTTTTGCTGCTTGCATTTATCAGCTAGCTTAATATCTGATATCAACTTAGTACAAGCTCTTATCAGTTGTTGCTGTATCTTTTGAGAGTGTGTTGCTGAAACAGGTCTTTCTCCTGATTTGTCTGTCTGAAAAATGCTGTTTGAGTGTCAGAAGGTTCAGGAAATATGTAGCTTGCGAAAAATGGGTCCAGTGTTTTCTTATTGACTGTAGGGCGAAAGAATCGGTCATAATCTGTGCTCACGTTCGCTCCTCATATTAAAATGAATAGACTCCGGACCTGTCACTAGTCTCCTAAATTGGCAGGGCAGTGGTGAAACCTACGAAACACAGGTACAGTAAATGACTCGAAAGTAAGCAGTCTCGTTTATCAACGCGGTCTCTGATGACAGCTCTCCAAAAGTGAAGTCACAACACTGCAAACACCCCCTGGTGGCTGGCTGCAGTTAAGGTCATAAACCCTTCCCCCTCAATGTTTACAAATGGGACTTGGCCCAAAATAAAAAAATCAAAAGGACATGTCAAATAAATTTTTACCAAAGATGGTTTCTGTCATCTTAGTTAGTTCTTATTTAATGTATGTTTCAAATGTCTGTTTTTTCTGATAAGTTTGGTTTTAATTAGTTATTTGATGCTATAAAAAGGGGGTGTGATGTCATGATTGACAGCTGTGTGGGTCGGAGGGTGTATGAGCAGTAACTCAATACCACAGCTCCACTTGTCCATCACTGATTTGCAGACTCTGGCTCGAAATGACCTGAACTATTCAGAATAATTTGGCTTCACTTTTATACAGACGGAGGAAATGGAGGTGCGTCGCCCACCTTTATACACAATCTATGTATGGAACAAACAACATACCAATAATTTATCATACTAACTAAAGCTCTATGCAGTATGAAAACAATCTAGAAAATGTAAGGATTTGGTTGGGATACTTTCTTACCAACTAAAGGGTTACTTCGTATATCCAGCACACAAAGTGCAGAATTTGTTTTCAAGGCTTCGAGCAAACGGCGAGCTCCTTCATTGGACAGACCACACCTCTGTAAGTCCACAGCTGTTCACAAAACAGAAACAAAAAACCTGAGCAAAATTCCACAGCAACCAAAAAAGTAAGTGTCTCTTTGTCTCATTTTATCTCTCAAACCCACACACACCTACTGACCTTTAACCCAGAGGTCCTCGGTCAGTTCATGCGCGAGAGCAGCAGCACCCCGGTCCCCAATCAAAGTGTTACAGTTCAGGGTGACACGGCGGAGACCTCCCATTCCCTCAAACTGTGGCTGCCGATACCTCAGAGATTCTGCCCATGCAGTACCATGCCTCTGCATTCCCTGATGCTGAGAAAAAATGCATACTTAAAATATTTATTTTTTTAAATACAGGTCATTTTGAATTAGGGTCTGGGTTTACAATATAATAATCCATAACACATGAAACAGTATGGTGGGTTAAGTCTTAAAAGTTATGTATAGTACCTTGATGATGTTGGCCATATGTTCTGCCCCTCTCCAGGTGAGATTGCATCCTGTAAAATCTACTGTCCTGATGCTTGTAGAGTACTTAACACTTTGGCAAATGACTGAAACACAAGAAAATGACATTTACAAAGACAAAATGCTCACATACAGTACAATCCTGCTAAGGCTTTCTAAACAATAAAGGGAACGAAAACTGTGAATAAACCTACTCTCTAAGCCCTCGTCAGAGATTGGACAGTTGGCCAGAGACAGGTTTTCCAAGGAAACACTTTTTGCAAAACCCTGGAATAAAAAATAAAACATATTTAGGTTTTATCAAATTTCACTCTTTCACAGATCATCTGCTTTACGTCCCAAACACTCAAAAGTTGTTTCCTCCTCCAAGATGAGAGTATTCACCATGGATTATAGTAAACAGGGTTTACAACTCAACATACACAGCTCAGAAAGTGAAGAGAAAAGTAGGGATGAATGCAAATGAACTTGTGATTCTGTGCCAGTCTCTCCAAATACGTAAAAAGAAAAAAAAAACAACAACAATAAAATCCCTTTGTGCAAATCATATTCTCATTCTGGTTTTACCTTTGTTAAAGTGATGAGATCCCTCTCTCTCAGTGGAAGTCCATTAAGCTGCATAGTCTTGAGGTTGGGGGAGACAGTCAGACACTCTCTCAGGGCCTTGCACAACTTAAATGTCATATCCTTAGAGCGAATGGCTGGGATCCTCTTCCTGAGGCTAGACTTAAAGTACCTTCTGTCTGAAATTGGTGGTGATATGATTAATGTTTATATCCAAAATTGGCAGGTAATTAAAGTTCCTAATTTAATTCATCTGCCCCCCCCCCGTTACCAGGTTTGTTTTCCGCCTTACCTGCGTCTCCAGAAGCCAGACTAGCCTGATATGTGCTACTTATTGCAATGTGGTGCAGGTGTTTGTTGATGCTGATGGAACTGAGAATGGGCGGCCAGTCTGTGAGTTTGACCCTGTCTCCATTAAAGTCCAGCATCCCTTTGTCAAGGTTCATCTTGACAGCAGGGAGAGGGACTGACTCCTGTCTGGCACAGGCAAAGTCATAGTATGCCATAAAGTCCTGGGCACCCCGCTGCCAAATGTGGGCACTGTCTTGAACCATCTTTGACCTGGGAACAAAAATATTTTTTCGAAAGTCATTTAAGACAGAGTAGTTCAAGGTTAACAACACCATGAGATTAGGGTTTCAACGGTATGATAACCATCTCAGGAAATACCCTGGTGCCATGGTATCATGGTGTTATATGATTGTTATTTCTATCAGTTACAATGACCCTTACAGGAATGAAAACACAAGAACTTTTGTTTTTAGTTAAACAAATGTTTTATAACTATAATTGAAACCATTTTTTAATGTAAGTATGTGTAAAAAGTCTCCCTTTTGAAAATAACTAAGATAATGGTGAGATTCTTCATCCACCTACATGTTTTTCTTCTATACGCAGTATGATAACTGTCAATTTTAATACCTTAAAACTGGTATACTGCTGCAACTACTTATATTCTCCTCTGATATTGATGATAAAACTATACAAAGGTTGATTAGAAATTTCAGCAACAGTATACTGACTCCAACATAGTTTTTCTGGTGCTGTAAGTAAATACCATTAAGTCATGATTACCATAGGTAGGGTAGCACAGTTTGCTGTTTTGCTGTCATTGTAGATTTCCTCTGGTATCAGAAGCAGATGACCAGTACTAGCTAGTTCTGTCTGTAGAGTCAACATTTCTCCTGTCACTATCAACCTGACAGCTATTCCTCCATTGCTGACCTGCAGTGAAACATAACGGCTCACAGACTTCAGTGTAACACCTAAATGTCAACGTTAAACCTCAAAGTAACTTGAAGGCTGAAAGACTTTCTAGTTAGCTCGTATTGGAGTTAAAAAACTGAATCTAGCTACAGTGTAGTAAGTTGGTTGATCCAGTGGCGTTAGCAAGCTAAGCTCCTAGCAACCGTTGGTACGGACTCTGCTAACGAGCTGTGAATGGTCATGTTTTTAGATGCACTTTCACGCATCATTAAACAGCATTTAATAGAACTAACACGATATAACGTACCTTACACATATGACTGAAGGCTTTATGGTTTTGGCACTCTTCTCTTGGTTTTCCTTGACCACTTTTTGACAACTTCAACAGTCTGTTATTGTTGGAGATGTAGATAAGCGCTCAAAAGTGGCGCTGTTGTGCCAGTAAAGCCTCGCCCACAGCTCTTCCTCACTGTGTCCTGTGTGAGTCTATGCAGAGCTCTGCTGCCACCTACCGGAGCGGAGGCGGAAGTGAACTCTCCATAATCAGTGTGAGGAGAAGGCAGGTGTACAGTAGATTTTATTATATGCTAAACCTATATGCAATTTATTTAAGGTGTGACGTGTGTGGTTGTGCTGCTGGTCCTGCCTGATGCCTCCTGCTGCTGTTATCATTAGTCATACTTCTACTGTTATTATACACATATGATTATTGTCACATATGTATACTATCAGATATTAATATATACTTTCAACATATTGTACCACAATAGCCATAATTATAATTATTATATTATTACTTTCATTAATGTTGTTGTAAGCTACTGTCATTACCATCTGTCCTGCATCTCTCTCTCTGTCTCTCTCTCTCTCTCTCTCTCTGTCTCATTGTGTCATACGGATTACTGTTAATTTATTATGTTGATCTGTTCTGTACGACATCTATTGCACGTCTGTCCGTCCTGTAAGAGGGATCCCTCCTCAGTTGCTCTTCCTGATTTTTTCTACCGTTTTTTGCCCCCCGTTAAAGTATTTTTTTGGGGGAGTTTTTCCTTATCCGCTGCGAGGGTCATAAGGACAGAGGGATGTCATATGCTGTAAAGCCCTGTGAGGCAAATTGTGATTTGTGATATTGGGCTTTATAAATAAAATTGATTGATAGAAATTGATTGATTTAAACAGTAAAAGCATTACTTGAAATTAATTTGAAGGATATATTAACATCTTAAGAACAAAAAGGCAACAGGCTAACTAAATAGGTGCTTTGTAAAAAAAAATAAAACAACAACAACAACTTATAACCCTTACTGGTGAGGAGCAGATGTCTTTTATTATTGTTAATTAACTTTATGAGGACCTCCTGAGACCCCAGCTTTTGTTTGGTTTTTAATTTCTCCTTGCTATTTGGGATTAGTAGGACATGATAAGTTTAAAAAAACTAAACATTGTCAACGATAATAATGTCCCAATGTCCTTCAATGAGCTGATGATAAATTCCTTATGTCTTCAAATGAGTACTTTCAATTAACAGTGTCTTAGCTTGTTACATTACTAAAACTGATAAAAATTTGTAGGGCGTATCAAACTCCTGAGGTTATTTACTAAGGCTACTAAGGCTGACAGAGATGGCTGCCATCTTGTTTTTACATTGATTGGTGTAATGTGGTCTCATTGCCACTAGATGGCACATAAAAGTGTCCACGAGTGAGGACAACAGGCCTAAGTTAAGCAGAATGAAGTACAAGGTCCAGTAAACCCAAAATGTAATGTCCTTATAAGAGGCCACAGGGCATGGTATAACATATTACACAAAAATATTATGAGACCTACAGATGTCAGGTGTCTTAATAGCCTTTTTGTTGGTTGAAATCAAAAAGCAGTTTCATATAGTCTTCAACATCCTTCAGAAAAAAAAAAAATAAAAAAAGGAACAATATGAGGTTTATTATTGCTAAACTTACATTTCTGGATAAACTATTTTGCCAAAATCATTACCAAGGTAATCATAAAAAAGTGTTTTTGAGAACTTGAGGAAACCAAACACCACATTATCCCATAATAATGTAAACCCTCATTCAGCTCATTCCTCAGCCCCCCACTTACCTCCCCGTTACACTATATACATTTTTTTCAATGAACGTTCTGTACAAAAAATTTTGTCACAAAAATTGCAAATTACATTCTGATAACAAGTACAAGGTTAGAGTAATGCTAATTGTAGTTAAAATATAGCCAGTGTTGCATGATGTCCATTTTAGTGGACAGATGATTAACTGTCATTTCTTGCCAACATAAGCTTGGACATTCTGACAACTGTATTACTTCTTAGATGCTACCTGATGTTTACAAATTTCATTTACCTGCAGGGCTCTCCTATTATAGTAGGATTGGCAATAAATTCGTGAGCTGCACATCGGCCATCTTGGTTTTCCGAGATTTGTGTTGCACTTACAACACCTGGCCACTGGGTGGCAGTGTATGGCAAGACGGGATCCACTGTAGTTGCTTACATGCAACTATAGCGTCAAAACCAATGCATATTCAAGAAAATGACGTTTAAATAAGTGACCACTAGTGTAAAAGTGGTAAGAGTTTGGTTTCAAGTATTTTATAAAGGTGAAGCAGTATATTTCTTTTATTGTCAGAGTAATTAATTTTATATAAAGGTCAAAAAAAGATTTACAAATCATTGATTTTCTTTTTTAAATTTGCGTCCAATGTTTTGGACTCGGAGTTCTATTATCAGGTTTTTACAGATTATCATTAAATAAGCCTACTGGGTTTGCGTTACCACATTTCTCTTTTTTCAAAATTTATTCATTATTGTTACTCTAATAAGCTATTTTTATACTTAAAAAATATATTATTTTATTTTTATTTTGTTATTTTTATTTTATTTTATTCTTTTAAAAAAAAATTAAATTAATTTATTTTTTGCAGTCAACAAGAACCCCATGAGGTGCGTTTGCGTCCCACAATAAAGTCCTCCAAAGTATAGTTGCGTAACATGTTATTATGGCATGGAAAAGTTAACATCACATGATGAAAATCAATACAAGGGATCACTGTATTTGAAATAAGCATTGATCCCTCCCTTGTCATATCACCCTCGTTAACGACTCTCGTACTGGAATCCAGAAAATCGGTAAAAATCATTCAGGGCAGGCTCCTGACAATAATTTGACGCGCGTCGTGATCACAGGGTCCCAACCGTCGCCCCGTTTTCCCGTGTCACTCTAACGCAGCAGGACAACGCCCTCTCCCCCGTGAAAAAACACTTTACTGGAATCTCATTGGTCGGTACAGCTGTCAATCAAACGCCCTGGTTTGCCCTGTTCCAGTAATCCCAACCTTCTCTGGAGTCAGTGGGAATGGTTCAACTATACAGCGCGGTGGCAGGGTTTTGAAGAAGCTGAATTATTGGATAATATTTAACCAGCCGATATAAAAACAGCACTTAAAAGGACACCTCGCTACAACAAAGGTAATGTTGGTGTTATATGTGAGCTCATACCAACCGTTAGACGTTAGTTTGTAACGTTAGATGGCAGCTACTGTAGCTAGCTGTGTTTTTTCCAAACATCAGTGGCCTCTTCTGCGTGTGTGTGGTGAGGTGCTGGCTGCTAAGTGAATTTAAAATGTCATTTAACACATTTTGTTTAATTCACATACACTGTCTCTCATGTTAAAATGTTGTTAAAATGATAGCTGTGTAAAGTTATAAAGGTAAATCACCGTCTGTCCGTTGTTTATGATGGGACTCGTAACGGTACCTATCACGCTGCCCAAGTTGCTAATGCTAATGATGCAAACCGTCCTGTGATGATGCAGTTTGGGATACCTGCTGTATTAGCCTCTTTTTCTTAGAGGAGCAAAAATAGCTATTGCACATGATCACCTGCTACGTGTTGAGTGAGCAGGCACATTATTAGTTTTCTTTTTGTGTAGTTGGGACCCCAAATGTGTGATGAACAATATGAGTATGATCGTTTCGTCATCATTGTTATTTTTGCTCATAGATCACCTAATCTTTTATGACCATTTTAAAAAATATTTTCATGACTCAGTATGGATTACTGAATGGATTATAGGCTCTTTGACATACCAGATTGTGAATAAATATAGTGTAGATAAGATAAAACGTTATTTTCTCGAGATGAATTGTTGTGCAGTAGTGCAATGCAAATTTGGAATAGTACAAATAAAGTGTGCAAATATGAAGTAAGAAAAATCAGCAAGGTGTAAATAAGTCTGTGTTGCTCAAATGCGGTCTGCATGCACAGAAAAGGATTTGTTTTCCATCTGAAATTTTTGTATTTTTCCACAGGAAATTGGGTTGGGAAATTATCTCTTTTTATTTATATCATGTAGGGCTGGGCAGTATATCAATAAATATCCTGATACAAGACTAGATATTGTCTTAGATTTTGGATATTGTAATATTGAAAATGTTTTCTTCTTCTGGTTTTTAAGGCCTCGTTACAGTGAAGTATAATTTTCAGAACTTACTAGGCTGTTCTAGCTGTTTTATTATTTTTCTTTACCCACGTATTTATTACATCGATATTACTTAGCTGAATTAAAATTCAGTTAAATTAAATAAAAATTCAATTAAAAATAAATTAAATTAAATTTGTCAACCTTACAATGTTGTCGCAATATGATATTGAGGTATTGGTATTTAGTGAAAAAAAAATTTGATAATTGGTTTTCTTCATATCACCCAGTCCTAATATTGTGTAATAGCATACTCTACTAAGTAGTTGGCTACACTGCATTCAAATTATAATGTTTTTTCATTTCATTTCATTTAAGAACTGTAACACTTTTGAAAGATGGAAATATAGAAAGTTGTTCAATAGGAGATGTGGTAGAAAAGCAGTCATTCATTCACAGGTGTTATAGTAGGGGATATTCTGTTTATAACATTTACATGCATTTCCATAGAAGTCAAACATATCTGTATTACCTTGATGCTTTTAATACTACTTTTTTTGTAGCAATAAGAAACAAGAGACAGTATTGCCACACAAAAATACTGCGATACTATGTTGTATCAGTTTTTCAATGGAATAAATCTGCCACTGTATAAACAGGTGCTGAGTTTCATGCTACACACTGTTCTAGTATTACTCAATACAAGAAAACATTCAACATTAGTCACCATGGCAAATGACGATTCTAAGGCGCCTACTTGTACCTGGCAGGACAATAGCCACCCTGTGTGTGTGTTTTCTTTGTTGCTTGGTTGTGTCTGAGCTAAAAAAAAGATTAAACTAGTTTGTATATTTAGACTGGCATGCTTTTGACTCGCAGTGGATGTGTTTAATTATATTAAGACTGTAATTTAGAAGCAAGGATCCAAAAACAAATTGTGTATTTCTAAAAGTTTTTTTTTTATTTTTTTTTACTCACATCCTGT